TTTGGTATGAGCCCAGGCCAACCTTCTAAAGGAGAGGCTCTGTGCCTTGGTTCCTAGTGACTGACCTGTCCTACAGGGCCAGGCCAGGAACTTTGACTTCTGCACTTAGGTTGTTAAGCATTTGAAGAGGCAGCACCTCCTAAAATTTTTGTGATTTTTTTTGTTTGTTTGTTTGTTTCTTTGTTTTGCCCCCAGTTAATAGATCATTAAGAGTCTACCTAGGGAATTTGTTGAGAGTCCGGTCAGTTAATGATCATAACCCCGACCTTCACATTAACCTAGCAGCTCATGAGCTTCAGGTAATAGTCACTGTCCCATGAGTTCCCACTTCTGTCTTTCGTGTGGTCTCGCGCCTACCCCTGGCTCCCCGTGTAAACCAGAGCCACAAGCTCCGGGCTTCTTTCGACTTGGTTCAACACTATAGAGTTGCTGAGAGAGAGCTGCAAGCTTCCTTGTCCTGCGGGGGTCCCTGTCTTTCCTACCGAGCTCGATTGGTCCCATTGTCCTCTGTCTTATTTTGTCTTGGTCAGACATTCTGAGGCTTTGTGGTCCCATGCAGATTAGGTGAGGAAGTGGAGGCAGTTGATTGGTTGAGAGATGGCCACAGTGCAATGAAATGCTCTCTTGTTGGTGAACAGTCAGCAGTGTCCTCCAAGAAGAACTGGCTCTTGCTCTGTCCATACCTGTCCCCCAGGTCACGTGCCACCTCCGTCAGGCTTCTTTCTCCATGTTGTGTGCTCTGGTATTACTGTTTTATCTTGTTCTTTGGGTTCTGGTTTTTGAGACGATCTCTTGTAGCCTAGGCTGGCCTCAAAGTTGCTCTGTAGCTAAGGATAACTTTGAGTTCCTGATGCTCCTGCCTTGTCTGGTGCACTAACTCCTGCTTGGGCAAGTGTAGCTTCTGCTCTGTTGCTTACTGTATGGCTGCTCCTTGTTCAGGGCGTTGTCTGTTGTCAACTCTCCTATCCTGGAAATCTGTATAAGCTCAGCCCATTGTCCATATAAGAGCCCATTCAAGGGAAGCAACAGAGCTGGCTGTGTGTCACTTGGTCTAGAAAGGAGCGTTTTTTTTTTTGTCCCTGAACCCACTTGGGAACACTAGATCTCCCTACTGGGTATTTTTGTAAAGCATGTGTTTTATGAATCTGCAAACTAAGGACCCTGGGGTGGGGTATGACCCAGCAGGTGTTGCTTAGGCTGAACATGTAGGTGTATGTATTTGAGGAGCTGCAGTGAGCTCCACAAATGCCTTGGAAGCTTTGTTCAGGAGGTTGGAGGCAAAGCTGCAGGAAGGAGGTCCTCTCTGTTCTATTCCCATTTCTAACTGCTGGTCAGGCAGCCTTCTGGGGATGGCTGATTCGTCCCGAGAGTGTCTGCAGCTGCAGGCAGGCTGGTGAACTGCTAGTCAAGGCTGGGGAAATAACTCAGTCCCTGCAGCCCAACTGTAGCATCCCCCCCCCCCCCCAGCGCCTATCTCAAGAGGGTTTTAGCAGGTTCTAGATTGAAACTATTAGTGCAATGGAGCATCCCCCACTTTTCTTGGGTGATTATGTTATAGTCTATTAAGTGTGCTCCCTTGGTGTTTAATCCCACTCTGACATGGGTTTTTCTGGCAGCCTGTTAAAGTGCCATTGCCATTTCCTAAACCTGTTAGTTGTTTCTGTCCATGGCCTTTGGGACACCCACTCTCTCCCAGCGGGCTTCCTTCCTTTCTAGTGAGCAGTCTGCAGAAGTAGTCAGACCTGATACTCACACAGGCCTCGTGTCTGGGATGGCATGTGCAGCAGGGCGCCACTGGGGTCTCTGCAGATGCAGTGACCAATTAGTGTCGCCTTCCCAGTGCCGCTTCTAAGTCACAAGCAGTTTTTTTAAGTTAATTTTTTGTTATTTTGAGATGAGATCTTGCTCTGTAGCCCAGGTTGGCCCAAACTAGAGAGCCGCCTGCATCAAGCCCCCGCCCCCCGAGTGGGTCTACAGGCACAGATTGTCATGCCTGGCTAGATTTCAAAAAAAAAAATTCTATTTTTCTAAGCATCTCTCCATTCTAGGACAACAGTTTTAAGCATGTGTAGGCTCATTTTGTGGAAACCTATGCATGATGCTCATGCTAAGCCCAGATTTGCCTGGACCTGTTAGCCACATTATTGGTGAGAATGTTGGGCTGAAGTCTTTGTAGGTGGGAAGCTATCTGATTTTTGATGATAGGTTCATGAGTTCCTAGGATAATCTTGTCACACGTTCTCAGTGTGTTAGAAGTGGGGCACCTTTATCAGAGCCAGCTGTAGCGTGGGGACAGGGTAGAAGCCTTACCTGCATAGCCCTTTGCTAGTGACCTAGCCAAGACTGCCAGATGGACTGGATTTCATGTGGTTGCTGCCGTTTTCTTGCGAGGAAACTGTAGGAAAGAGGTAGTAGGGTACCCATGCCCAACACTATTAGCTTTCCTCCACAGGGAATCCCAGGCTCCAGCCTGCCCCTAGGCTCTGCCCCCGCCCACGGCATTCCCATCAGAGTCACTGGGTGGGTTTGTTCCCATCATTGCAGGCGGTGGCCTTGTCACCAAGTAGCAGGTTTTTCCTTGAGACAAAACCAGTTTTCCTAGTCAGGTGCCCCTGTTGCTGTGGATTCTGAGCTGAACCTTCAGTGTGCCTCACCGGACAGGAATGCTGCCCACATCTGAGCTGCTTAGGTGGAAAGCCTCTGAGGCACACAGGCCGCCCTCCCCCCCTCCCCACCGTGGTTCCCTTTGACAAAACATTAGGAGCCTTACCCTGTTGTCTGAGTGCAGTCCTTGACCTCCACTTTGTGTGTCTTTGGGGCCAGGCCTCTTGGGTGTAGAGCCAGGCCTGGCTCCTTTGAATCGGGCTCTAGATTAATTAGAGAAGCGCCTCTTGAAGCTGCGAAAGGGCTGTGGAGGGCTGGGGAAAGAGGCTGCTGTTTCCCTTGCAGCCCCTTACGACCCTCAGGGCTTCCAAGTAGTTATTCCCTCCTTCTACAGCGCCTCTTTGCAGGGCTGTTCCCTGTTCCACTTATTTGATTAGCTTTCTCAGGGCCTATAACACACACATACACGCACGCACGCACGCACGCACGCACGCACGCTTGAGACAGGGTCTCTCTGTAGTTTTGGAGCCTGTCCTGAAACTCTCTAGACCAGGCTGGCCTCCCAAGTGTATGTGCCACCATTGCCTAGCTCCTATTGCATTTTTTTTTTTAATACTTTTGGTGTGGTGTGGGATAGACCGTAGAGTATATGCATGCTCTGCGAGTAGCCCAGGCTGGCCTTCACCCTGCAGCCCTCCGAGTTCAGCTTCAGTTCTCTTACCTTCGCCGCTCTTCCTCTCTTTATCCCTTATTGAAGTGTAAAGGACTTCATGCCCAATTGAAGACCTTTCTGCTGCCATTTATAAGCAACACAGGGAGCTATAAAATGATTTCTGTTTTGTTGTTTGCCTTTTGGGGGGAGGGGTGGTCACAGGGTTTCTGTGTGTAGTGCTGGCTGTCTTGGAACTCAACACATAGATAAGACTGGCCTTAAGCTCATAGAGAGCCGCCTGCGTCTGCCTCTCCCTCTCCCCCCAATGCTGGACCTAAAGGATGCATGTGCTACCACTGTTGAGAGAGGGTCTGTAGCTCTGGCTGTCCTAGAACTCACCGTGTAGACAAGGCTGTCCAGGATCTTACAGAGACCCTCCTGTCTCTGCCTCCTGAGTGCTTGGGTTAGAGGCATGTGCCACCAGCCAGGGCTGAGAACTTTAAGTTTTTTTTTTTTTTTTTTTTAACCCCAGGAAGAGTCTCACTGTATACTTTCCTGGCCTGGTACTGTGTAACTTGGCCTCAAACTCAAAAGAGATCAGCCTGCCTTTGTCTTCCACGGCACCAGCTAAATTTAAAAAGATTTTTCCATTCTCCCAACTCCTATACTCAGCAATATCCGTGTCTGTGGGTCTGGCTTGAACATTGGACTTCTTTCCCATCTACTACTTTCTTGACCCTCTCTTGACTCCACCCATAGATACCTGCCCCCTCCCCCAGCCTATCCATAGCTGTTTACACATGTTGGATGACTCACAGCTTGTTGGGTTAGGAAAGTGCTTTTACTTTTCAAAGTGCTAAGCACTGAGTGACATGGGTGTTGAAAAGGTCAGAAAAAGTGCAGCATGAGAGGGTTGGGAACGTGTACCTAGAAGCAGGGTGAGGGTCAGCTGGGAGAGGGGACAGGTCTCAGCTAAGGGAGGGCTCAGCAGGAGTGGGGGTCTGACTCTACCATCTCAGTCCCTAACGGGACGAGTTCAGTTTGGTGTGTATCTCCATAAACCAGAGTGTGCAAGTTGGGTTCCCTGCAAAGGAACTTGTGTGGTCCAGTAGGTCTCAGTAATGCAGTAAAGAACTTTGTGGGAGCTGGGCAGCTAGACCTCTCAGCCTGTGGCAAGACATACTCATCCGCTCTGTGGCCACAACCTATACCTTTCTGCTGAGAGCACTTAGGTTCTGAAGTGGTTGGGAACCCTGAAATAGGTTCGTCCCTATGTGAGCATAGTGCCCTTCTTTTTTTTTTATTAGTGGTTTTTTTGGGGTTTTTTTTTCTGTTCTGTTTTTGAGGCAGGGTCTCACTATGTAGCCTTGGTTGTTCTCAGACTCAGAGATCCTCCTGTCTCTGCCTCCCCAGTGCTTGGAATAAAGGTGTGTGCTACCACGCCTGACTTAGCCTGGCTTTCTATTTGTTTTTTGAGTTCTAGGACTGGGACTTGGGGCTGCTTGTGTTAGGCAAGCACCCTACCACTAAGCTGTACTCCTTGCTGGTGGTAGCCCCTCCCCACCTCTTGTGACCCAGCTAAACTCACAGCCACAGTCCCTTGTGGAGAAGGATGAGAGTCCCAGCCACTAGAGCTGTACTCACCTTATTTGGGCTCTCTGCTGCTATTTGCCTCACCAGCTCAGAGCCTTCAAAAGGCTCCCTGTAGCCCCTGAGTTCACCGTGGTTTGGGGTTGGTTTGCAGGGAGGATGGTGAGTTGGAAGAAGGTGAACTGGAAGATGATGGGGCTGAGGAGACCCCGGATGCCCCTGGGGGACAAGAGAGGAGCCGGAAAGAAAAGGGGGAGAAGCATCACAGCGACTCGGATGAGGAGAAGTCTCACAGGAGACTGAAACGGAAGCGGAAGAAGGAACGGGAGAAGGAAAAGAGGAGGTCGAAGAAAAGGCGGAAATCCAAGCACAAAGTAGGTCCTAGAGGGTTCCCCACACCTCCACTGCTGGCTCCGAGCCCGCCTGCATGCCCAGCGGGCTCTCTTAGTGACAGCCTTTCCTAGCGTGTGGGGCCCAAGGACAGTTCATAAAGTCTGGCGCTTATGCTCTGTTGCCATTGAGTGCCCCCAGGTGAGGAGTTTTCAGTCAGAGCGCAGAGTCCTTCCAGACACCTTCTGGCCTTGTTTGTCCTGGGGCTGGCTGCAGTCAGGTGACCCGCCAGCAGCAGAGTCACTCAGCGCCTCCTCTCCTTGCCTCCTTGCAGCGCCATGCATCCTCCAGTGATGACTTCTCAGACTTCTCGGATGACTCCGATTTCAGCCCCAGTGAGAAGAGTCACCGCAAGTACCGGGACTATAGCCCCCCATATGCACCGGTGAGCAGCACTGTCACATGCGTTCTGGTATGGGAAGGTCGATGGTAGCCCAGAGGCAGTGGGTATTGTTGTCATCCCTATTTCATGGGTAAGGAAGCAATTAGTTAGAGGTAGGGGCTTGTGTCAGCGGTGGCTGCTTTCTCCACCCAAGGCCTGCTGCTGAGCTTGCCCAGAGTCAGGTCCCCCCCATGGCTTGGCAGGACTCAGTACTACTCATTCATCCAGGTCACAGATGACTGCTTTCCACTGTTCATAAGTGACCTTTTGTGGGAAATTGGCAAGAGAATGAAGTGGCAGTAGAGTCAATTATCTCCAGGCCTGCACAGTTAGAAGTTAAATACCCCATTACAACTCTAAACTTAACCATAAGTTTACATTATTTGTCCGGTATATACTTTCTCTTTCAGAAAAACTTGTAAGAAAAAACAAGCAAGGGCTGGGGATATAGCTCAGTGATGCAGTGCTAGACAAGAAAAACAAATGGGACATGGCACAAATTGATAATCCCAGGACTAGGAAAGCTAAGGCAGAAAGATCAGGAGTTGGAACTTAGAGGACTTAGAGGGGGCAGAAATAGCTGAGCGGTTAAGTGCCCGCACTGTCATAGTTAGGGTTTAGGGTTTCTACTTGCTGAGAAGAGACATCATGACCACAGTAACTTTTTTTTTTTTTTTTTTTTTTTTGCATTTGGTTTTTTGAGACAGGGTTTCCCTATGTAGCCTTGGCTGTCTTAGAACTCATTCTGTAGACCAGGCTGGCCTCGAACTTACAGGGATCCATCTGCCTCTGCCTCCCAAGTGCTGGGATTAAAGGCATGTGCCACCAAAGCCTGGCTTTTTTTCTTTCTTGTTTATGTGTACAGTATTCTGCCTACATGTGTCCCTGCATGCCAGAAGAGGGCACCAGATCTCGTTGCAAATGGCTGTGAACACCATGTTGTCCCTGGGGATTGAACTCAGGATCTCTGGAATAATAGCCAGGGCTGTACTTCTAAACTCTGAGCCATCTCTCCAACCCAACCATGGCAACTCTTTTTGTTTGTTTGTTTGTTTGTTTGTTTTTTGGTGTTTTTGAGACAGGGTTTCTCTGTGGCTTTGGAGACTGTCCTGGAACTAGCTCTGTAGACCAGGTTAATGGGTGACTTACTTATCATCATGGAGGGACATGGCAGTGTGCAGGCGGACATGGTGCTGGAGATGAGAGCCTACATTTTGATTGGCAGGCAACAGGAAGTGAACTGAGCCACTGGGTATGGCCTGAGCATATATGAGACCTCAAAACCCACCTCCACATTGATACACTTCCTCCAATAAGGCCATACCTATTCCAACAAAGCCTCCTAATAGTGCCTCTCTATCTGTGAGCTTATGGGGGCAGTTACATTCAAATTACCACAGAGTTGGAGCCCTGAGCTACACAGCATAATCCTATCTAGGTGGGGCAGTGGTGGCGCATGTCTTTAATCCCAGCACTTGTGAGGCGGAGGCAGGTGGATCTCTTGAGTTCAAGGCCAACCTGGTCTACAGAGGGAGTTCCAAGATGACCAGGACTACACAGAAAAACAAAGAAATTAAATAAATAAAACCACAGGCTAGGCAAGGTTTGTTGGCACCTTTTTTTTTTTTTTTAAGTGAAAACAAAAAGGTCATTATTTTTTATGTGTCTGTTTTCCTGTCTGTGTACCATATACGTGTCTGGTACCTGCAGAGGCCAGAAGAGTGTGTCATATCCTTTGGAACTGGAGTTATAGTTGTGGGTCTCTATATAGGATCCATGTCTAAATTGCGTGAGATAGCAGCTAGTCCTCTTAAATTCTGGACCATCTCTCCAGCCCCATGATGGCACTTTTTAAAGCCTTTCCTGTGAGGGCATCATGCACCACAGCAGATGATGGAGGATCAAGTGCAGTAATCCAAATGCAGTAATCCAGACTGATTACTGCAAGAGGGCATCCTCTCCATTTTAGGGGATGTTTTGATCATGACCGGGCCAGCTCTGTCACGGAAGTGTTGCTACAGTGTTACAGCTCAGGAGTGGATGTTGACACATTTGTATCCAATTGTATTCCTCTGTTGTATTCGTTTTCTGAGCTCCTTTGTTAAGAGTGATTTTGCTGCTCCAGTACCTCATGCTCCTCAGCCCTGTCCCCAAAGCCACCAGATCATACCTTTTATAGCATGTGGGGACTGCCTAGCTTTTCCTAAACAATATGCTAAGAGGTTTGTTACATCGTTTTTGTTTTCATTTTTGAGACCAGATCTTTACTTTGTTGCCTAGGGCAATCTTAAACTCCTGGGTGCTCAGGCAGATTTTCTGCCTCAGCGTCCCATGTGGATGGGACTACAGGCATGGACCGTCATACCTGCCTTAGCAATGTGTGTTTAAAGCTGGGTATAATTGCATAGGATTATAATCCCAATGCTTGGGGTGTGGGGACAGACTGGATGTCAGAGTTCCAGCCCAGGATGGCACTCCCAGCGTTTGGGAGGCAGAGGCAGGCAGATTTCTGAGGGGAGTCCTGAGTTCCAGAATAGCTAGGGCTATACAAAGAAACCCTATTTTTTGTTTGTTTGTTTTTTGAGACAGGGTTTCTCTGTAACTTTGGCTGTCCTAGAACTTGCCCTGTAGAGAAACCTTTTCTTTAAACACACCTCCCTCCACACATACCTCCCCCCAGCCCTCCCAAAAAAGTTCCTGGCCAGGCTGGACTACTTAAGACCCTGTCTCAAAACAGTAAAGTGTTTATTACTTAGAGCTCCCATTGCTAAGGTGGGCCTCATTGTCTGAATGTGCTACACTGTTCGCCTCTTGAAAGGCATTTTGGGAAGTGTCGTTGAAAGTAGTAGTTGGCTGTGGCCATTGTGTTCATTCACTGAAATCCAAGGCCCCAGGGAAAGCTTGGGCAGCTTGGGTCCCTCCTCCTGCCTCCAGGCTCCTCCCCAGGGGTTTGCACTGTATCTTTGTCCTTGGCTCACTAGGGACTGTGGGCTCATATTTCTCCTTTCCTTTCTAACCTTGGCCCTTTTCTTAAGGATAAGCTTGGACCCATTGCTGTCCCCAGCCTATCAGGGTAAACAGATCTGCAGAGAGGACAAGTACCAGTGGTAACCCAGGAGCAGTAGAGACGCCCAGACAAACACACAAGTTTTGAGAACTGAGGTGACCTTGATGGTGCTGACCCAGGCCATGGGTCCTGGCTGACCCTCTCCCTTACTCTTTCCCAAACCCAGTCCCACCAGCAGTACCCCTCATCACACAACACGCCCCTGCCCAAGAAGTCCTACTCCAAGATGGATAGCAAGGGCTACAGCATGTATGAGGACTATGAGAATGAGCAGTATGGAGAGTATGAGGGGGATGAAGAGGAGGACATGGGCAAAGAAGACTATGATGACTTCACCAAAGAGCTGAACCAGTACCGGCGTGCCAAGGAGGGCAGCAGCCGCGGCCGAGGTGAGCCCTTCCCTCTCCTACTTTCCCTTCTCCAGGCCAGGGTTGCTGTTGAGAGTGGAGATCTGTAGAGTCAAAGAGCCTATACTGAGTCTCTTAGCTATCTAAGAGAGCTAGGCAGTCTCTCAGGGATGGCCACAGTGCACAGAAGCTGTACACTCAGGGCATAAGGGGTAGGGACGACCTAGGGCCATGGGCGTAGAGCAGGGACAGCTAGTGTGTCTCCTTGGGCCAGAGTGAGGACAGCGGGTGACCCAGCTCTGCCCACCTCCTTTTCTGGACTTTTCTGTCACCACACCATTTTGTTCACCTCTGAACCTTGGACTTCAGGAAGCTGGTGAACTTTTGGCTGGAAGGCTTAAGAGGAGATAGGGGGAGGGAATAACAACCCAGGTGATGTTCTAGAACTGGAAAAGACAGCTAGAGGAGGCTTCTAAAGTCTTCCAGCTTCCAGTGATCCAGGTTATTGTTTTGGATTTTTGTTTGTTTTCTCCCTCCCCCCCCCCCCTTTGGTTCTGTAGCTTTGGAGTCTGTGAGTGTCCTGGAACTCACTCTGTAGACCAGGCTGATTTCAAACTCGCAGAGATCTTCCTGTTTATGCCTCCTGAATGTTGGAATTAAAGGCGTGTGCCGCCACCCAACAGATTCATGTTTGCTTTTGGACACCTTTGGAATAGACTACACTTAAAGGAGACTATAGACTAGCGATGCCTGGGACATGCAGTACAGTAGAGGATGCAGGTCATACTTACTAGTCTACCTTATCGGTCTTACCGGAATCTACAATCGACACCAAGATTCTGGTGTGCTCTCCCTCTCTGCTCTCCCTGAGTTTTTAAAGCGTGGTACTCATCTTCCATTAGCACCAGCAGATGCCCTGGGCTTCGTAGCCACATAGGCTGGTGGCTGCTGTCTTGGACAATGCAGCCATGAGTACAGGAGGCCAGCTAGTGAGGGGAGGAGTTGCTGTGTGTCCAGGGTACCGAGTGAGCCCGTTCAAGGGGACACGGGGCACTGTAGTCTGCCCAGGGCAGCCGGAAGAACTCCTGAGGGAGGGGCCCAAAGTAATAGGTAGGGGATGGGTTCTCTTCCTTGCTGTTATGGTCTGTGATCATGTGAGACTCACTGTCCCGATTACCCCACAGGTAGCCGAGGCCGGGGCAGGGGCTACAGGGGCCGTGGAAGTCGAGGAGGATCTCGAGGCCGAGGAATGGGCAGGGGCACCCGAGGCCGAGGGCGAGGCTCCATGGGAGAGCACCCTGAGGACGAAGAGGACCTGTACGAGGAGGAGATGGAAGTAAGCGTTTGTGTAGCTCTTGGGGATGCAGTGTGGCTGCAAGTACTGGGGGCACTGGGAGACGTAAGGTCGGAGGACTTGTGGTATCCCTAAAGAAGGGCATTGGGACAGGCACACGTTTAAATGTTCCTTTTGAAGACGAAGAAAAAAGAAGCAGAAAATTTCAGTGGCTGAAGCAGAAAAGGCACCACATGGTAACTAGGAAAACCCTGACCCGAGGCAGGAAATGTTTTCTGGAATGTCTTCTAAGTCCATGTCGTGTGGCACATTTCCTGAAGTCCTGCTGCTGCCCCTGTGCCCAGAGACCCGGTTCTGCCCAATTGAGTGAGAGTCTCAATTGAGAAAGACCATCCACTCAGTGTTGCTCCTACATGACACTTCTGCCCTGTTCTCTTGAATCCAGTATGGAGAAAGTGAGGAGCCCATGGGAGATGATGATTACGATGATTACTCCAAGGAGCTGAACCAGTACCGAAGGTCCAAGGACAGCCGAGGCCGAGGTGGGTTAGGGCTCTGTGGGGACAGGCTAGCTGACCTTCAGCAGCTGCTGGACGTAGCGTGGGAAGTAAAACCCACTCTCCTTCCCTTCTCCACAGGGTTAAGTCGAGGCCGAGGCCGGGGAGCCAGAGGAGGTCGAGGGAAAGGGATGGGCCGGGGTCGAGGTCGAGGCAGCAGAGGGGGAATGAGCAAAGGCGGGATGAACGATGATGAAGACTTCTACGATGATGACATGGGCGTGAGTACATTCTGTGATCTGATTGCACTTTGTTTTTAAATTTATTTTTCTGTGTATGGATGATTTGCCTGGATGCCTGTATCTATGCAACAAGTGTGTGCCTGGCACCTCCCGAGGCCAGACAAGGGCATTGTGGTAATTGGAATGGAACCCAGGTCTTCTGGAAGAGTAGCCAAAGGGTTGTTTGGTTTTTTTTTTTTTTTTTTGGTCTGTTTTGGTTAGGTTGTTTTGTCTTTTCAAGTTAGGGTTTTTCTGTGTAGTCTGGATGACCTGGAACTCATTTCGTAGACTAGGCTGGCCTTGAACTCAGATCTTCTTAACAGCCAGTTCTTAACTGCTTTTAATCAGTAAGCTGTCTCTCCAGTCCCAGTGATCTGATGTTTTGACCAAGGCTACTTTGGAGATTTTTTTGTTGTTGTTGTATTCTAATGATCCATTCTGTGAAGGCTGACCCTGACCTGTTTCCCTCAGTCCTTGACCGAGGGACTGATCAGTGTTTACAGCTCTCCAGAGGGATGCCCTGTTGGTACAACCCTCTGTTTAAAACCACATTTCAGCAGTGCTTGCAGCCATCTTGTTGAGTTCTAAGGTGGAAAGGTTCTAAGTGATGCACCCCAAAGTTCCCGGAGAGTAACCAGAATGGCTTGGCTGCCCCCTCCAAGATGGGTATGTCCCTACATAGCACATGGAGCTCGAGTTTTTTTCAGTTTGAGTTCTGCATTGCATGTGGTGTGACTGGAGCTGCCTACACGAGTCCTGTTCTCTCGTACACTTAATGTATCCCCCCCCCCCCCCCATTACTCACAGGATGGTGGTGGTGGAAGCTACCGGCGGAGCGATCATGACAAACCCCACCAGCAGTCTGACAAGAAAGGCAAAGTCATCTGCAAGTACTTCGTAGAGGGACGATGCACGTGGGTAAGCAGACCCCAAGGACATGTGACCCACATGGATAGGCTGCCACAGTGCATACTGTTGGGGAGGGGAAGGGTTGTGGATGGCCTGCCCTACTGGGTGCCAAGAGACACCTCGGCAGCCTGGAAGTCTTAGCTCATTTCTTAGAAGACAACTCAGAGCAAACAAGATGATGTGTTGGTTGAGAGTTTGAGACTTGGGGATGCTTTTTTGGTAGAATTTTTCATCCAGTCTCAAACGAATCTATAAGGGTTAACCTGTTGTAGTTATGTTGTAAATTCAGGGTTGGAGAGGAATTGTTTTTCTTTCTTTCTTTTTTTTTTTTTAAGACAGGGTTTCCCTGTATAGCCCTGGCTATCCTGGAACCCACTCTATAGACCAAGCTGTCGTAGAACTCACAGAGATCCCATGGGAGAGCCAAGGCACTGTCCCAAATGATACATTGATGATCCCCCATGGAAGACCTCACCCCTGGGGAGGGGATGGGGGTTGAGGGAGAGAGGAGGAAGAGGGAACTGGGATAGATATGTAAAAAAGACTTCCTAATAAAAAAAATTTGCTGTGCGCATGTAATAACAACAAAAAAGAACTCACAGAGATCCTCCTGCCTCTGCCTCCTGGGTGCTGGTATAAAAGGAGTGGGCCTGGAAAGGGATTATTAAAGACTCCAGGCAGAACCAGCCGGGACTTCAGAGTTGTGCAAGAGACAAGTGTGGCCACTTAGAACAGATGGCTTGTGACTGTGATACAAAGGCAGAAGCAAGCAGGTGGTATATACACCTGAGGGTCACTGCTCCTACAGGAAGCAGGAAGAAATAGGTATTCAAGCAGATAGGTTGTGTATTAAATAAGCCTTACACTCTCAGTTTTAACTACTGATTTCAACACATACATGTTTGTCAATTAACAAAGAGTCAGTCGGGGAGTTAATGACCACTGCAGTGGTGTGGCCCTCTGGGGTCTCTGACTCCTTCATACTTAAACATGTGGCATTTGGTGGATGGTGGTGGCACAAGCCTTTAATCTCAGTATCCGAGAGGCAGAGGCAGGCTGATCTCTATAGAGTTTGAGGCCAGCTTGGTCTACATTGCCAATTTATAGACATAGTGAGATCTTATCTCAAAAAATAAAAATCTGTTTTAATTCAAGAAGGAAATAACCTGGCTAGAAGCTTTTACTGTGCTTTGTTGGCTAAATAAATAAGCGAAGTTGGGAAATGGAGTATGTCTAGCCAGGCAGTCTTCCTCAAACAAAATCAGGGTTCAATTAGGAAGGACAATACATAGGACTGGCTTAGGTGATGCGTTCTTGTTGCGACAGCAGATGGTATGGAACAGAGTAGACGGGAGAGGAAGGTAAGAATGTTAGGAAAAAACAGTAGTGACCACATTTGGGCCTGAGCAGAAGGGCCTAGGGCAGGCCGGGCCGCAGGTTGGGAAGCAGCATTTGGAAGGCTGCTTTTCCCTAGGGGATGTGTTCTTGTGTGTGGTCCTTCTGTAGACACAAGTGAAACAGAACTCACTTTCCCGACCCTCATTGTCCCTGCCTCTCTTCCAGGGAGACCACTGCAATTTCAGCCATGACATTGAACTTCCGAAGAAGCGAGAGCTGTGCAAGTTTTACATCACGGGGTTCTGTGCTCGGGCTGAGAACTGCCCCTACATGCATGATATCCTTTGCCGTCTGTTTGTCTGTCTGTACTGTGTGCCCTGTACTCCTCCTCCTGGGGGTCTCACTGTGCTGCCTCCCTTCTGCCCCTTGTGCCCACTGCCCGAGCTGTCCACATGCACCCGAGGAAGCCCACACACATCCTTTACCGTCCCCTCTTCTGTCGGAGTTGGAGGGCCCTTTTCTGAGATCACCTCTGGAGGCTAGAACTTGCTCTGGAGGAGGCCTTGGGGCAGCTGCCAGCCAGCCCCTGCACAATCCTGAGCGTCACCTCCCCTCCAAATACAGGAGGTTGCTCGAGCTTTGGGGTGGGTTCTGAGAGGAAGCGTTTGCCTTAATTAGCCATGAACGCGACTTTCCCTGTAAGTTGTATCACACCACTGGGAACTGCATCAATGGTGATGACTGCATGTTCTCCCATGACCCGCTGACCGAGGAGACACGAGAGCTCCTAGATAAGGTACTGTCCGGGGCGGCACAGGGTGCAGGGCTGAGAAGAACCTGACAGCACCGTCAGTTGGCACAGGCTCTACAGGATCAGAGTTCCCAGTTGAATCCCGGGGACAGCCGGGTTCCTTCCTAGAGGAGGGGTGGGACCCATGCTGTATGGTACCCCAGACCTGAGCCACTGCCTTCCCTAGGAGACAGTGAGTGAAAAGGATGTCACCTTCTGGTGTTGTGCAGAGACAGGTGCAGAGAGTGGAAATGTCATTGTCCGTTTGTAGTCACAGGCACTCACACAGAGAAGGGAGGGTGACCAGGATCTCACACCAGGTGCCATTTGGCATTGACCCTGGTGTCTCTGGTTCTTCCACAGATTAGCAATTAGTGAGGATGCTTGCTTTGGCCTCCAGTCACTTCAGGGTGTAATCGGTGGCCCTTGAAAGGCACAGCAGTGTGTGATTGAGGGACGCCCCCTGCTGGAGGTTCAGTGTTCACACACTCCAGCAGGAGCCCAGTCCTGCCCCTTGGGTTGGTTTAGTGTTTTATATATATATAGCTTTGTTTAGTTTTTAAGGTTTGGTTGGTGAGGCGAGGAGTCCATTTATATATTTTTTTTATTTTTTTTTTGAGTCATGGTCTCTTTATGTCGCCCTGTCTGTCCTAGAGCTCACTGTGTAGCTTAGGACGTCCTTGAACTCACGCCCTTGCTAGCATTAAAGGTGTGCACCACTGTATCTGGCTGTGATATTTAGGTTTTTAGTACCTTTTCTTTCTTTTTTGTCTTGTTTTGGCAGTTTTGCTATGTGGCCCAGGCTGACTCTCCATTCCTCCCTCCTACTCTTTTCAGTGCTAAATATGCTGGTGTAGACTCCCAGTTTCACTAGGTAAATTTTGTTTTGGTTCTTGGAAACAAGGTTTCTCTGTGTAACAGCCCTGGCTGTCCTGGAACTCACTCTGGCTCTGTAGATCAGGCTTACCTCATATCCATAGATATCAGCCTTCTTCTATGTCCAGAGTGCTGGAATTAAAGGTGTGTGTCACTACACCTGGTGGTGACTGTCATTTTTGCAGAGGTGACAAACTTTCGGAAATGTTTTGGAATAGTAGCATTAGCTCCACTGGAAGGTTTGGGGGCACAGCTAGGCACTGGAAATCACGTTGGATGAGAGCTTGTTAGCAGTGGTCATTGCCTATAGGAAGGCCATGCATGGCGAGGCTGCAAGGGACTGATATTTGGATGCTCCCCCCCCCACACACACCTGTGCTGAAATGGCAGATGGGTAGGGTAGTTTATGTTCTGTCCTCTAGTCATTTTCTCATGTCCGTTTTGCATGCTCGTGTTGATGGGATCAGATTGGAAGACCAGGTTAGGAATAGACTCAAACTCCCTTCTTAGGCTTCGGGTCTGTGTTGTGAAAGGCAGATGGGTACTATCTGCTTGGCGCGTGTAAGGAAGCAGCTAGCTGTAGGACTGCCTAGGAAAGGTGGTATGTCCGTGTTAGAGGGCGTCTCTAAGGGTGCTGAGGTGGGTGCCAGCAAGACTGCTTGATCCGGTTTGTTACCTGGCAACACTTGTTAGGGTTGAGCCCCAAGCCTGTCCTGCCTGGTAGCTGTCTGTTAAGGAAGGATATTGGTCAGGCGAGGTGCAATGTGTTTTGAAGCCTTGCTGGGTGAATCTGTCTTAGGGCATTGGGGGCCGGCCTGTGGGCGATGAAATGGGGAGCATGGCAGCGAGGGAGGCTGCCTTCAAATTTGAGATCTTCCTGCCTCAGCATCCCCAGTGCTACGATTGCAAATGTGAACCACCATGCCCAGCTGAAGATGCAGTTAGTCTATCCCTGTGCTGGGAAGGCCTTCAGCAGGCTTGTGCTTCACGCCTTCTGTGCCCTCCTTTGCTGCCCACAGATGCTGGCTGATGATGCAGAAGCAGGTGCTGAGGATGAGAAGGAGGTGGAAGAGCTGAAGAAGCAGGGCATCAACCCCTTGCCCAAGCCACCTCCAGGCGTGGGGCTCCTGCCCACCCCTCCACGGCCCCCTGGGCCCCCAGCTCCCACCTCTCCTAACGGCAGACCCATGCAGGGTGGCCCCCCTCCCCCACCTCCACCCCCTCCCCCACCTCCTGGGCCGCCTCAAATGGCCCTTCCCACACATGAGCCACTGTCACCACAGCAGCTTCAGCAGGACATGTACAACAAGAAGATCCCCTCTCTGTTTGAGATTGTGGTGCGGCCCACAGGGCAGCTAGCTGAGAAGCTGGGCGTGAGGTGAGTGTCCTGTGCCCTTCCTTGTCTGAAGCTGTCACGTCCTATCTGGGCTCTTGACCTCAGGCTTCAAGTGAGCACTGCAGGTGTCCTGGGCTGGGTGCCACTACCTTTCCTCAACAGCTTCCTCACAAGGATCGGTTTCTCCTCTAGGTTCCCTGGACCTGGTGGACCCTCAGGGCCAATGGGTCCTGGCCCCAACATGGGACCCCCAGGGCCAATGGGAGGACCCATGCATCCTGACATGCACCCTGACATGCACCCCGACATGCACCCAGATATGCACCCTGACATGCATCCCGACATGCACCCTGACATGCACCCCGACATGCATCCCGACATGCCTATGGGTCCTGGCATGAACCCTGGCCCTCCCATGGGTCCTGGTGGCCCCCCGATGATGCCTTATGGTCCTGGAGACTCTCCACACTCGGGAATGATGCCTCCCATCCCTCCAGCCCAGAACTTCTATGAGAACTTCTACCCACAGCAAGAAGGCCTGGAAATGGAGCCGGGGCACGTTGGGGATGCAGGTATGTAGGCACCAGCTGGGCTGCAGAGCTGGGCTCACTAAGGTGGGATGGTGGGCAGAAGCAGCTTTTCTTCCTTGGTCGATTGAGTCTTACAGCAGCATTCCATCGCAGTCATCTCTGTGGGGACAGAAGGGCTGCTGTGTTTGTGGTTGGCTGTGCTCACAGTGTCTGGCATGAGTCACAAGCAGGGCAGCACTCCTTAGGAAGCTGCGCTCGTGCAGGGCCCTAGCGAGGCCCTCTTTGGGTAGTGCCGGGCGTGGTGCCTGCCTGTCCGACCCCGTCGACCCCGTGAGTGCACAGGTGCCTCCTCCCTTTCCTGTGATGTTGACAACCTCAGTGTCCAGCAGTCAGGGCCACAGGTTGTGGGTGGCGCTAGGGTATTATTCATTGCAGCCTCACAAAGGAGGGGGCCTGCCCCAGTCAGTCCAGAGCTCAGAGCGAGTGTCCTCTGCCCTTGTGATGCAGACAGGAGTCATTTCAGCATTCGCCATTGTTAAAAATACCATGGGACAATGGGATACAGCCAAGGCCCCAGCAGGGACGGGAGCCGGGGCTTCTCTGAGAAGGTGCCCAGGTACCACAGCTGGCCAGCTTGTCCGAGGAGAGCAGACATGACTGTTATAAAGGAAAATGTGTCATCTGGCAATAGTGGCCTTGTCTGCTCTACAGAACAGTGGAGTGGGGGCTGGGGGGGAGGGGCGCGGCCCTGCTTCCCAGCACTCAGGAGGCTGAGGCTGGAGGATCACTTTGAGTTCTGGGACAGTGGAGGAAATTTAGAGGCTTCCATAGAGTTGCCTACAGCAGATGTGCCCAGATGGTGGCAGAGATCACCAACCAAACGTACAGAGACTGGTCACATGTTTTGGGCGTGGCACTTTAAAGCCAGTGTGACCTGTATGTACTGTGTAGGGCTGGATGAAGCAGCATGGAGAATGGGTCCAGGCATGAGCAGACCTTTACTGAAGCTCAGGCTGGTCTGTTGGGGATGAGCTTCCATAGTGTATGCATGACCCATGGTAAGGGGTAGGGCTTCAGGGTGCTGGGAAGGGCAGGCCACTGAGATGGAGGTCCTCGTGCCTGGTGTGCATTAGTTGGCTTGTTGATGGTGGGTGTCTCTGCAGTAAAAGTGAGCTTGTTGTGTCAGTTCCAGGGGCCACCCGGAAGAGCTCAGAGCTGCTGAGGGCTCTGCATACCTAGGAGGCCCTTCTTACAGTTTGTGTTGGGTGGAGGTGGAGCCTCAGCCTGCATCCCCAGCTCCAGTGGCGGTAGCGGAAATTAGGTCTACTTAGGTTGATGTACTGACCGGATTCAGGCCCCGTCAGCAGGCCCGGATCACTACGTGTGCATATTTACCAGTTCTGCAGTTTGTAGTGTATGTGTGTTTGCTTGTGTATGTGGGATGCACATGAGCAGTGTGTACATGTATGTAAGCCAGGTTCACATCAGTTAACGACTACATATATTGAGGCTGAGAGTCATTTGAACTTGAGATTACGATTTCAGCTTAGTCTGCCTAGCTAGATTCAGGGATAGCCTGTCTATTTCCCAAGCACACTAGTATTACAGGCCCTTGCCATGCCTTGCCTGGCTTTATGTCTGTGCTGGGGATCTGGTTGTGCGGTAGTAACCCACTGAACCATGTTTCCAGTCCCCAGTGTTTCAGTTTAAACTATTTAAAATACCAACTGGGCTTTCTTGGCAGCATGGACTTCCTCTCCTCTCTGATGTTCAGTGTATTACCTCATCTGGGTAAGAGTTATTGCCGCATGTGGGCTCTTGGCAGACTCTGTCCTGGGCACGCTGGCTCTCCATTCTACATCCAGGGACTCAAAGGGAGAGGGTGTGTTGTATCTAATGCATATATTAGGCCTGGTTGGTGAGGAACAGAAGCTGCCTTGCCCTGGCGTTCATCTGCCTATGTGCTCAGTAACTCTGGTGCGCAGAATCCCCTAGAGGGTAGAGGGAGTGCCCTGAACTGGACTGAGGTGTTTAGTGAGTTTTGTTCTCTTCAGGCTCGGCTTCTGGGAGATAAAGTGATTTTCTTTCTTACAGGCTTGTCCAACCTGCAGCTTAGGCACTGTGTGCAGCAACATAACACAAAATCTCAACCCTAAGTAAGAGTTAGGACTAGGCTGGCCATGGTGGCGCACACCTTCATTCCCAGTACTTGGGAGGCAGAGGCAAGTGGACCCCAGTGAGTTCAAAGCTGTCCTGGTTTGTTAGAGTTTCAGAACCTTTTTGTGTGAGATTATTTTTACTTTGATTACGTGCTTTCTGAAGCATGAACTTGGTAGATGACAACATCACATCCCAGTGTCAAACAGTTGGACATGCCTGCAAGAAACCACAAGGCTGCTCAGGGCAGATGGTGAACCAAGCCTGCGCCCTGTGACGCAGCTACCTAGCCTGAGAGGGGTGTGGCCTATCCATTATCCATAAGCATCCACCATGCCCTCCCTTCGCCTTATCCTTTGCCTGTCAGCTGGCCCACTGTGGGCTCCTGCTGGACTCTCAAGGCACCCAGGCCTGGGGAGGAGGAAGGGACGGGTGGCCATCCTCATCCTCGCACTTGCCACCAGGCTTGGCTTTTCCAACGGAGGCCTTCCCGACACAACCCCTCTTCCCTGCCACAGAGGACTACGGGCACTACGAAGAGCTGCCGGGGCAGCCTGGGGAGCCCCTCTTCCCAGAGCACCCTCTGGAGCCCGACAGCTTCCCCGAGGGAGGGCCCCCAGGCCGGCTGAAGGCGGGCGCCGGTGTCCCCGACTTCCTGCCCTCGGCCCAGAGGGCCCTGTACCTGAGGATCCAGCAGAAGCAGCAGGAGGAGGAGAGAGCGAGGAGGCTGGCTGAGAGCAGCAAGCAGGACCGGGAGAATGAGGAAGGCATGTGTCCCCCGGCAGGGGCCCAGCCGGCTCTGTGCAGGGACGAGGGGGGGCACCTAGGCTGGGTGCTGTGTCTGAAAGGAGCTTGGCAGGGAGGCCTGTCCTGGTCTGTCCTGAGCTGCTGCCTCGTGCTGAGGAAATGGAGGCCAGGGTTCCTCTGCATCTTGGGTTCAGGAGACTCCTGACTCAATAGAAGAGGGCGGTGGGCTGGTTCCTAGCAGAGAGAGTGCCCTCCCTGAGGAAGCTTGAGTGACACTCTCACGTCCTGACCCCTACAAAGCCAAAGATGGGCCAACCAGCCATAGAGCTACGGGTCACCAGTGGTGTAGTCACAGGCTCGAGTGGTTACCCTGGTGGCATCCACCTCGGGGCTACATGGATTAAGGGTCTCAGGAGCTTGAAGCAAACCAGTGGGGTCAACAAGAGGAGGGACAAGGTCGGCAGCTCCTCCCGGTGACTCAGGGTTCCCTCCTGGGCTCTGTTTGTGGTTGTACCTGCCCTTCCCTGACCCTGACTGTTGTGAGGGGCCCTTGGGATGTGTGTGTGAGTTGTCAGCATGGCTGTTGTCCTGTCCAGACCTCCAGAGGGAGGTGACTAGGGCTGGTCTGGGCCAAACCTTGCCCAGCCCCACCCTGACTTAATGGCACCTTACCTCCATTTCCTCATCTGTCCAGTGGGTATGTTGGTGACAGGACCTCCTGGGGTGGTTGTGTGAATTATTCAGGTCAGACCACCCACCAGGAATGGTACTGGCCTGAGAGAGAAGCCACGGCGGCGATATCAACCCCCAGAGCCAGGTTGTGCACCCCTGGCTCCCAGCTGGGGCCATAGGAGATGCTAACTAAATAAAGCACAGAACCACACACCAGAGGCACCCAGGGATCCACGAGGCCATTCATGCCTCCCATTGCTCTGCTCTCTCTCAGGTGACACCGGAAACTGGTACTCAAGTGACGAGGATGAGGGGGGAAGCAGTGTCACATCCATCCTCAAGACCTTGAGGCAACAGACGTCAAGCCGACCCCAGACTTCAGTTGGGGAGCCAAGCAGCAGTGGGCTGGGGGACCCACGCCTGCAGAAGGGACACCCCACAGGAGGCCGGCTGGCTGACCCCCGCCTCAGCCGTGACCCCAGACTCAGCCGCCATGCAGAGACTTCAGCAGGCACTGGCCCAGGGGAGTCAGGGCCCTCTGACCCTCGGCTGGCCCGTGCCCTGCCCACCTCCAAAGCTGAAGGCAGCCTCCATTGCAGCCCTGCAGGCCCCAGCAGTTCAAAAGGACAGACCCCTGCAGAAGAGGAGGAAGGGGAGCGGGCCTTGCGGGAGAAGGCCGTGAACATTCCCCTGGAGCCCCTGCCTGGGCACCCACTGCGGGACCCTCGCTCGCAGCTGCAACAGTTCAGCCACATCAAGAAGGACGTGACGCTGAGCAAGCCCAGCTTCGCCCGCACTGTGCTCTGGAACCCTGAGGACCTGATCCCCCTGCCCATCCCCAAGCAGGACGTCCCCCCAGTGCCTGCTGCCCTGCAGTCCCTACCTGCCCTGGATCCCAGGCTGCACCGCTCCACACCTCCTGGACCTCCCAACACCCGGCAGCGTCCAGGCTCCTCAGATCCCAGCACCCCTGGCTCTAACCTGCCTGACTTTGAACTCCTCTCTCGAATCCTCAAGACCGTCAACGTCAACACCCCTGGCCAGAGTGACAAACCCAGTGACCCCAGGGTGCGGAAGACCCCTACCGACCCCAGGTTACAGAAGTCAGCAGATCCTGCGGCAACGTCCCGTGCAGCCAAGCCCTCTTCCAGCGAAGCATCACCTCCTGCTGCCAGCCCAAGTGGAGACTCATCCCCACCAGCCACGGCTCCCTACGACCCCCGAGTGCTGGCAGCTGGTGGCCTGGGCCAGGGCAGCAGCAGTGGGCAGAGCAGTGTGCTGAGTGGCATCAGCTTGTATGACCCAAGGACTCCCAATGCGGGTGGCAAAGCTGCAGAGCCAGCCTCCGACACCAGTGCTCAGCCCAAGGGTCCTGAGGGCAATGGCAAGAGCTCAGCCTCCAAGGCAAAAGAGCCCCCATTTGTCCGCAAGTCTGCCCTGGAGCAGCCAGAGACAGGGAAGGTCAGTGCAGACGGCGCCACAGCCACAGACAGATACAATAGCTACAACAGGCCCCGGCCCAAGGCCACTGCAGCCCCCACAGCTGCCTCGTCCACCCCGCCCCCTGAGGGGGCCACACCCCAACCTGGTGTGCACAACCTGCCAGTGCCCACCCTCTTTGGGACTGTGAAGCCAGCCACCAAAACAGGGACAGGAAGCCCATTTGCTGGCAACAGCCCTGCCCGTGAGGGTGAGCAGGATGCGGGGTCCCTAAAGGACGTTTTTAAAGGCTTTGACCCCACAGCCTCCCCCTTTTGCCAGTAGTGTCTATGGGGGCCAGTACTCCCTCCACTCCACCACCCTTCCAGGGTGACATTTAAGGGCAGCAACCAGAGTTAATGGGTGGGGGACAGGCAGGGTGTTCTTTCTTTACATTTTCTTCCCTTTTTTTCATTTTTAAGTAGTACTTTCTTTGAGTCATAAATTGTATCTAACCATCTTGGGTTCTGGTCAGTGCTGCAGGCTCCTGGGCTCCCTCTGCCCAGTGAGCAGCTTGTACCTGCCTTGGACCGTGGCAAGTACCCAGCCTGGGGCTTCCCCAGAACTAAGGGAAGTTGTAAGTGTCTGGGAAGGCACTAAAAGCCACTCGTCGCTCACTCACCCCGCGCTGCTGGGAGGGACAGAGCCACAGCATGTGGCAGGAAGGAAGGAAGGGAGGGAGGGAGGGAGGGAGGGAGCTGGTGCAGGAGCTCCTGAGCCCCAGGGTGAACTGTCCTCTCTTCCGCGTGCAGCCTGTGACAGCCCGCGTCAGGACGAAACAACAGTGAAGTGAGAGAGTGTCCAAAGGAGAAAAAGGTCCTGGCAGCCCTGGCCCCAACCTGCCTGGGCCGTGCACCCCACTTTCCCCATCCAGGGTGTGTCCTGAAAGTGACCCCTCTAGCCAGCCCTCCAGGAGACGGGGAGACACTCGCAGGCCTACGAGGGGTGGGGCAGCCCCTCAGAACATTCTCCCTCAGTATTACCTGTCCAGTGCCACTGGCCTGACCCTCGAGACAGCTCAAGGATCCGTGGTGTGGCCGCCTGCCAGACTCCTGAGGAGGGAGGTCTAGGGTGGCCCTGGCAAAGTGTGTCTGCTCGCTGCTTTCCTGCGCCTTAGCCGTGTTATCTGTAGAGTACCAGATAGTGTTTGCTTGTCCCTCCCAAGCTGACAGAAGCAGGGCCGCACCGGTCTGGTGCCGTGTTGGATTACTGGGTGCTTCCCAAAAGGGGGCCTGAGGAAACAGCAGGAGTCGAGCTGGGGCCAAAGTGGTGTGTTGGTCCTTTCTAGGAAAGGCACCTTGGGGTGGGTGGGGAGGCCTAAGGCATCTGCCAGATCCCAGTCAGTGGAGGCACTTCCACAGCCTCCCCCCTAGCCACTTTAGAGCTGACCTTGTCCAGAGCCCCAAGGGACACTTCTGTGACCACGTCCCCAAGATTGGATCAGGGAACTTGGTAAGACCTACAGACCTTTCTGCCTCTGGGTCACTCGCCGGGCCCCAGAGGTCTGCTTTTCTTGCAACCTGCCTTTCCTGCCTTGGGTCTCTTGGCCCAGCTGCTCTTTGATGATAAGGAGACCTGACACGTAGCCAGTGGATCCCCTCCGCCTCAGGGGAAGACGGGCTCCCACATCCCCTGTCTGCCACCACCCCATACCCTCCACAACCCAAAGAGAAATCCCTTCAAAACAGTTTGGGGCCTGAAGCCAGGGTGGGAGGGGCTTGTGCCCCACGGGGTGTTACCCTGTGGGGTGAGTGCACCAAGATCAGGTTGTTGGTTTGTCTTTGTGTTGTTTTTTTATATATATATATATTTTGTTTTGTTTTCTTAAACAATCATCAATGAGATTTGTCTTTGGACTCCAGCCTTGGCCTCCGAGACTGGAGCCACAGTAAGTGTAGGGTAGGAAGAGTACAGTGTGGCAGTGTTCGGATCCCCGCCCCCCCCCCACCCCTTTGAAAAGTCTCTCGTGAAAGCCAGGCTTGGTAGTGCGTACCTGTCATCCCAGCACTCAGGAGACGGAGGCAGGAGGATCACGAGTTCAAAGCCAGCCTGGTCTACATTAGAAAAAGAAATCTTTTTCTTTTATTAAAGAAAAATAAAATAAATTTTTAAATCTGAAATCTGTGGGTGAGATGGAATCTGGAGCCCTCCTCTTGAAATAGTTAGCTGAAGACCCTCGCGGGACAAGGAACTCCGCTCGAATCCCCACCTGCCATCAGGCCACACTTTTAAAGAAAAATGTTCTCTAACCAGGATTGTAACAAAAGTGTAAATAGTATTTCTGAGTTGAAAGTCGATGGTGCAAATATGTATATAACGTACTGTATTTTTACAATGGTCGTCGCATGGCTCTCCCACCCCCTTTTGTACTCAGTATCTGTCTTCCAGAAACCTCACCTGCCTTCTCTCATGTGGTCTCTTAATCCAGTAATTGTATTACTGCCATTAAAGGATGCAGTTATTTTAAACAGCCTGGCAGTCTAGTGTCATCTCTGCCCCGCCAGGGAACAAACAAGGAAGGCAGGGAGCGAAGCTCTCTCGTTCTTCCTTACAGTGAGATCAAACCCAGGGCTTTGTGCCTGCGGGGAGCCAGGCCTGCCACACCCTCCGTCCCCAGACACTCAGATAACAGCCATAGCCTGAGCAGAGCACACTAGTCACCCTAGCACTTGGGAGGCTGAACCAGGAGGAACTTCCATGCCTTTAATCCCAGCATTTGGGAGGCAGATCTCTGAGTTCGAGGCTAGCCTGGTCTACAGAGCGAGGTCCAGGACAGGCTCCAAACCTACAGAGAACTGTTTTGCCTGCATGGACATCTATGTACCATCTATGTCCCTGATGCTTTTTGGAGGCCAGAAAAGGGCACAGCATCCTGGAACTGGAGTTGTGAGCTGCCATTTGGGTGCTGTGTGAAGGAGCCTGGATCCTCTGGAAAAGCAACCAGGGCTCTTAAAAGTACACGTAGCTAACACCCTTGGACCTCCTTCATGAGCCCCCAGCCATGAAGGCAGAGAGTTGGGGTTTAGCTCAGCGACAGCAAGCAAGCAAGGGCCTCGTGACACTCCCCAGCACTCAAAAGCACAAGTACCATTCTTTCTTCCCAGACAGGACCTTGTGGCCCAGGCTGGCTTTAACTGGTGCTGCTCCAGCCTGTGTCTTCCAAGCACTAGGGTCACAGGCGAGTGACTCCTACTGTCTTTCCCTTCTTATTCACCGTTTTCTGCTGTTTCCCCCCAAGTAGACTGTAGATGGTTTCTGCCAACTTCCCAGTCCCTCCCATCTCTTCCCCCTGTGTTTTGGTTAGTTTTTATTTATTTTGGTGTTTTTGAGACATGATCTCTCTGTGTGACAGCCCTGGCTGTCCTGGAACTCACTCTGTAGACCAGGCTGGCCTCGAACTCACAGAGATTCACCTGCCTCTGCTTCCTAGTGCTGGGATTAAAGATGTGGGACACCTGCTGGACGTTGGTGGCCCACGCCTTTAATCCCAACACTAGGAGACAGAGGCAGGTGAATCTCTGAGTTCAAGGCCAGCCTGGTCTGTAGAGCTAGGTCCAGGACAGGCTGCAAAGCAATACAGAGAAACCGTTGTCTCGAAAAACCAAAATAAATAAATAGAAAGATGTGGGACACCACCATCCAGCTCTAGGACAATAAGGGTTTTTTTGTTTGTTTGTTTGGTTGGTTGGTTTGTTGGTTGGTTTTGGTTTTTCTTGATAGGGTTTCTTTGTGTAACAGCCCTAGCTGTCCTGGAACTCACTCTGTAGACCAGGCTGACCTTGAATTCACAGAGATCCACCTGCCTCTGCCTCTGCCTGAGTGATGGATAGAAAGGTGTGCAGCACTCTGCCCAGCATAGCATGGCTTGGTCTTTGGTTTTTGAGACAGGCCTCCACCTTGCTCTACAGCTGTGAATTTCGGATTGCCCTGCTTTCTTGTTCTCCAGTGCTAAAGTTACTGTTGTAACCACCAGATCTCCCACATACATAATGCTGGGTGTAGAGCCAGGGACCGGTTTGTGCTGGGGTGGGGATCTCCCATCTGGAACCATGCACTGGGGTTACAGGTGGAGTGTCAATGTCTGTCCAGCATTTATGTGGGTGCTAGGGATCCAAACTCATGTCCTTATGCTTGTAGGGCAATTGTTCTGCCCGCCAAGGCATCTCCTGAGACCCTGGAGTTTATTTGTGAGTTTCAGAGAAGTTTCCATGTGGAGTTAAATAGGGAGAGAGGAGAGTGGACTTAGGAGGGCCAGCCTGACCTACGTAGTGAACGAATGAAGGAATGAAACAAGTAAGTGGCTCTCTTGCTTAGGGAGACCGGCAAGCATAGCCAATACTTCAGCAACCTATTCGTGGCATTTAGGAACTCCACCTGGCTCGGGCTGTGCACACAACAGTGCGTGGGGCAAGGCACACACTGTATTCTGCACACAGACCCTTCCTTTAATGACACACCCACCTGGGATCCCCACCAGCATGATAAATATCCAAGTAAACAGTGGGAATAAGTTATTCCCCTTAGCAAACCGTTGGCAGCACCACGTTTCTCTTCTAATACAGTATAGGAACTATGGACAGAGCGTGAGCTAATTAGTCTGTTTTGAACTTCTTTGGTGCATGCAGTAAACTCTGCCCCCTGAGTGATCTTTTAGGAAGACTCCTCCAGTTAAAGTGTCAGGGAGGGCATTCCAGGTCCCAGCACTGTGGAGGCAGGGACAGTCTGCTCTACATAGTGAATTCCAAGACAGCCATAGATAGCTACAAAACAACGTAATTACCAGGGAGCCTGGAAGTGATTGCACAGCCTTTAAGAACACCCACAGTTCTTAGCACACTCTAGATCAGTCTCCAGGACCCATGTTTGATGGTAACTCTACGTCCAGATCAGAGAAATCAGACACCTGGCTGTGGGCACTGCATTAACACACACAAAACCATACTCACCTAAAAATGTTAACGATTTTATTTTTTTAAAAAATTGTTTAGCTTTTTATTTTATATGCATTGGTGTGAAGGTGTCAGATCCCCTGGGACTGGAGTTATAGATAGTGGCGAGCTACCATGTGGGTGCTGGGAATTGAACCCTGGTCCCCTCTGCAAGAGCAGTGATTGAGTGTTCTTAACTGCTGAGCCAGCCTCTATACATTTTTTTTTTTTAATATAACTAATTAGCTGGGTGGTGGTGGAATACACCTTTAGTCCAGGCACTCTGGAGGCAGAGTCAGACAGATGCCTACATTAGAGACCAGCCTGGTCTACATAGTATCAGGACAGCCAGGGCAACACAGACCATGTCTCAAAAAAAAAAAAAAAAAAAAAAAAAATCAAAAGAGCTGGGCAGTAGTGGTGTACACCTTTAATCCCAGCAGTCGGGAAGCCAAGGCAAGAGGATCTTTGTGAATTGGAGACCATCCTGGTGTACAGACTGAGTTCTAGGACTGCCAGGGCTACACAGAAACCCTGTTTTAAAAAACTAAAAATAAAAAACCAAAAGAACCTAATTAAATAAAAAATATTAACAGACTAGACGTTCTACTGACATGCAGAGCTGTACACTTCCCTTTCCTGTTGGCTGTCTTGGCAACTGTAACGCTTCTTGCTGTGGCTGTAACAAATTGACACAGACT